TGTAGCTGGGCTTGCCCCAGTGGGGCAGCGCTCCAGAATTAATGAAGACTGGGAGGCCTCCTATAATCCTAGGGTGAAATCGGTGTGCTCAGCTCGCTCCCTGGAATGTCTGTACACCAATGCGCGCAGCATGGGAAATAAGCAGGAGGAGTTGGAAACATGTGTTAAGTCAGGAGACTATGATCTGGTGGCAATTACAGAGACGTGGTGGGACAGCTCACATGACTGGAATATAGTCATGGAGGGCTATGTCCTTTTCAGAAAAGACAGGCCAGCTAGGAAGGGTGGTGGGGTTGCTCTTTATGTGCGGGAGCAGCTACAATGCACCGAGTTCTGTCCAGGGACAGATGACGAGCGAGTTGAGAGTCCGTGGGTGAGAATTAAGGGGCAGGCTGGCAGGGGGGATACTGTTGTGGGTGTCTGTTACAGGCCACCAGATCAGGGTGAGGAAGTTGACGAGGCCTTCTACAGGCAGCTGAGAGCGACCTCACAGTCACAGGCTGTGGTCGTCGTGGGGGATTTTAACTTCCCTGATGTTTGCTGGAAGGACCACTCAGCAACCCAGCCGCAGTCCAGGAGGTTCCTCCAGTGTATGGATGATAACTTCCTCCTGCAAATGGTGGATGAGCCGACCAGGAGAGGAGCGCTGCTGGATCTCATCCTCACTAACAAGGAGGATCTGGTTGAAGCAGTAAGGGTTGAGGGCTGCCTTGGCTGCAGCGACCACAGGATGGTGGAGTTCAGGATCTTGTGTGGTAGGACTAGTAGAATACCAAGTAGAATTGCAACCGTGGACTTTAGCAGGGCAAACTTTGGCCTTTTCAAGCAATTGCTAGGGGAAATCCCATGGGCAAGGCTGCTTGAAGGTAAAGGGACCCAAGATAGTTGGTTGACATTCAAGGATTGCTTTTTCCGTGCTCAAGATCGGAGCATCCCGACACGTAGGAAGTCAAGGAAGAGGGCCAGGAGACCTGCATGGCTAAATAGGGAATTGCTGGGTATGCTCAAGTGGAAGAGGAGAGTTTACAGGTCATGGAAGGAGGGGCTGGCCACTTGGGAGGAATATAAGGCTGCTGCTAGAGGATGTAGGAAGACAGCTAGGAGGACTAAGGCATCCTTAGAATTAAACCTAGCGAGAAGGGTCAAGGACAGCAAAAAGAGCTTTTTCAAATACATGGCAGACAAAACTAACACCAGAGGCAATGTAGGCCCACTGATGAACGGGATGGGTGCCCTGGTGACAGAAGATACAGAGATGGCAGAGTTACTGAATGCCTTCTTTGTCTCTGTCTACTCTGCTGCAGGCAGTCCTGAAGAGCCCTGTACCCCTGAGACCTTAGATGAAGTCAGGTCAGCGGAGCAGTTTACCTTAGTCGATGAGGAATGGGTTAGAGATCAGTTGAGCAATCTGGACATCCATAAATCCATGGGTCCAGATGGGATGCACCCGCGGGTGCTGAGGGAACTGGCGGAAGTCATTGCTAGACCGCTCTCCATCATCTTTACCAAGTCTTGGGAAACGGGAGAGGTGCCTGAGGACTGGAGGAAAGCAAATGTCACTCCAGTCTTCAAAAAGGGCAAGAAGGAGGACCCGGGTAACTATAGACCGGTCAGCCTCACCTCCATCCCTGGGAAAGTGATGGAACACCTTATCCTTGGTGCCATCTTAAGGCATATCAAGGATAAGAGGGTTATGAGGGGCAGTCAACATGGCTTCACCAGGGGGAAATCATGTTTGACCAATCTCTTAGCCTTTTATGAGGAAATAACACGGTGGATGGATGATGGCAGAGCGGTGGATGTGGTCTACCTTGACTTCAGCAAAGCATTTGACACAGTCTCCCACAGCATCCTCACAGCTAAATTGAGGAAGTGTGGTCTGGATGATCAGGCAGTGAGGTGGACTGCGAACTGGCTGAAGGAGAGAAGCCAGAGAGTTGTAGTCTATGGGGCAGAGTCTAGTTGGAGGCCTGTAACTAGTGGAGTGCCTCAAGGGTCAGTACTGGGACCGGTATTATTTAATATATTCATCAACGATTTAGATGAGGGAATTGAGTGTACTATCAGCAAGTTTGCTGATGGCACTAAGCTGGGATGAGTGGCTGACACGCCAGAAGGCTGTGCTGCCATCCAGCGAGACCTGGACAGGCTGGAGAGTTGGGCAGGGAATAACTTGATGAAATATAACAAGGGAAAGTGTCGAGTCCTGCATCTGGGCAGGAACAACCCCAGGTTCCAGTATAGGTTGGGAAATGACCTGTTAGAGAGCAGTGTAGGGGAGAGGGACCTGGGGGTCCTAGTGGACGACAGGATGACCATGAGCCAACACTGTGCCCTTGTGGCTAAGAAGGCCAATGGCATCCTGGGGTGTATTAGAAGGGCGGTGGTTAGTAGGTCGAGAGAGGTCCTCCTTCCCCTCTACTCTGCCCTGGTGAGACCCCATCTGGAGTATTGTGTCCAGTTCTGGGCCCCTCAGTTCAAGAAGGACCGGGAGCTGCTGGAGAGAGTCCAGCGCAGGGCAACAAAGATGATTAAGGGAGTGGAGCATCTCCCTTATGAGGAAAGACTGAGGGAGCTGGGTCTCTATAGTTTGGAGAAGAGGAGACTGAGGGGTGACCTTATAAGTGTCTATAAATATATAAAGGGGGAGTGTCACGAGGATGGAGCCAGGCTCTACTCAGTGGCAAACAATGACAGGACAAGGGGTAATGGGTACAAACTGGAACACAAGAGGTTCCACTTAAACTTGAGAAGAAACTTCTTCTCAATGAGGGTGACAGAACACTGGAACAGGCTGCCCAGGGAGGTTGTGGAGTCTCCTTCCCTGGAGACATTCAAAACCCGCCTGGACTTATTCCTGTGTAACATTATCTAGGTGTTACTGCTCCAGCAGGGGGATTGGACTCGATGATCTTTCGAGGTCCCTTCCAATCTCTGGCATACTGTGATACTGTGATACTGTGATACTGTGTCTGTCTGTGGAGTTATTATGGAATGTATATCGTTTCTGCTGCTTGGAGCTTGTGTTTCTGTGTGGACAGGGGAATGTTCACAAGCATTTCAGGAAGCTTAAGCTATCACTGCCACCAACAGATGTAACTCCTGTCATTCTCCCCAACATAATATTTCTTCTTCTTCATAGAATCATAGAATAGTTAGGGTTGGAAAGGACCTTAAGATCGTCCAGTTCCAAATCCGCTGCCGTGACCAGGGACACCTCCCATGTCTTCTTTTCTTGTGCTAGGAAAAAAACCCTTTGTGCAGCATGTAGCCGGCTTGCTCACAGAAGTGATCCAGCAGAGGGATAAGCTCAGTACAAAAGCTGCTTTTCTTGGCTCCCTGATTGGGTTCGCTGTACAACTCCTTGAACTTGAGTTGGTGGGGAGGGAGCTGGGCTGCATGGGCTAGTGTTAGCTATGCAATCTGGCATTGTAACTCAGCAAAGTGATTGTGTCTGCTTCCAGAATTCATCTTGTAGTAGGCTGGATACAGCCTGTTGCAGTGTGCGCAAAGCATTTTTAGATTCTTAGTCATAAGTTCTCTAGAGAGAGGCTATTTCCGTCTTTATCCACCTGTTACCAAACAGTTTGCCAACACAAGATGATTTTAAGGCATTTAGCTGCAAAAATCTCCCCTCTCTCCTCCCAGTAGCAAATAAGTAGTCCAACATTTTTTGTGTTCGAAGTCACACATTACAGTGGACAGGGCTTGGAGCAGCCTGGTCTATTGGAAGGTGTCCCTGCCCATGGCGGGGGGTTGGGACTGGATGAGCTTTAGTGTCCCTTCCAACCCAAACCAGTCTGTAGTTCTATGATATAATGACCAGGTCAGAATTGTTGGACAACATAGAGATATCCCTAAGCCCATCTGTCCACAAAATTGCTGAGAGTGGGAGGTTTTTTTTCATCCTTTGGGGTCTCAGTTGGAATATTGTGTACAGTTCTGGTGTCCTCAACATAAGAAGGACATGGACCTGTTGGAGCAAGTCTAGAGGAGGCCACAAGAATGATCAGGGGAGTGGAGCACCTGCCGTATAAAGACAGGATGAGAAAGTTGGAGCAGTTCAGCTTGGAGAAGAGAAGGCTGCGTGGAGACCTCATGGCAGCCTTATAATGTCTGAAGAAGGCCTACATGTATGCTGGAGAGGGCTCTTCATTAGGGACTGTAGTGATAGGACAAGGGATAATGGGTTTAAACTTAACCAGGGGAAGTTTAGACTGGATATAAGGAAGAAGTTCTTTACTGTGAGGGTGGTGAGGCCCTGGAACAGGTTGCCCAAGGAAGTTGTAAATGCTCCATCCCTGGCAGTGTTCAACGCCAGGTTGGATGGAGTCTTGGGTGCCATGGTTTAGTGTGTGATGTTCCTGCCTGTGGCGAAGGAGTTGGAAGTAGAAGATCTTAAGGTCCTTTCCAGCCCAAACCATTCTATGATTCTGTCTCCGCAAGAATCACTGGTTTTTGGTTGTGTGTTCTTTTGAGGAGTCTGAACCTTTTGGTTATCGGAATCAGAGAAGCCTAGACATCTGCATCATCTCACTTCATATGAGTGCAGGAGGCAGCCTCTTGGCTGTGTTAGATGGGTTCACAGTGCTTGTGCTCCCCAGTTTTTGTGACACTGCACTCATCTACCTACACTATTTTTTCATGGGCTGTAGTGTAAAGATGATGAAATCTTCTGCACTTATGTTGCATACCTTGCTCAACATGTAATAACCAGCACAGGCTCCAAACATCTGTGTTCAAGAATACTTGCAGTTCAGACAGTAGCACTTCCCTTGTTTTGAAAAGACGCCTTGACTGCTCAGTGTTAATCTCAGCCTCACTTAACTGACTTTTTTGTCATCTGCTGTTCTCTAAATCATCTGAGCCTTGGTGAATAAACACTAAATCCTCCTTTATTTGCTATGCAGACAGTCACTGTTGCTCGACCACCCTCAGTTCTGTGTATATTAGTTCCTTTGTGTAATGTTTAAATATATTGGTGTATTTTTATTTCATAGGAAGCAAGAACAGAATCTATTGCTAGACCTTTGGAGATAAATGAGGCTGAGAAGGTGATGAAAATCGCCATTAACTGTGTTATGGTAAGCAAAATGATACTTATTTAATTGCAAAACTATTATTTTTCTGTTGTAGGAAGAACATAGCTGTATTTATTGACAGCCTAGGGTTAAAAGTGCCGAAGGACAAATCACCTTTAGCTGGCTGGACCTAGTAGTGCTGCACCTAGTTAGTTAATGGTTAATGTTGAGTTTCAGTTCATGACTTTGGTGTTTTGGTAACATCAGGTGTATGAACAGAAGCTCAGCAAGGCAGAGATCAGTCTATGTTGACTCCTTGTGTTATGGTAATGGGTACAGTTAGTGATGGTCCTCATGGTTCATTTGGAAACTGGTTGTGTTCAAAGTGAACAAGCATGTTAAAGGAAACTGATAGCTTTCCTGGCAGAGTCAAGAGGTATCAGCACAGTGATGGCTGTGAGCTGGCAGTCAGAAGTTACAGCCTGCAACAGAAAGGGTGAAGGATGCTACCAGCAGCACCTAGGAGAACGTTAAGACCTGCTCTGCTGTCACTGTCATACTGTATAATGGCATTGGTCCAACATGCTGAAATATTCCTCCAGTTGGTGCATCAAAGAACTGCACTTGGCCTCCGTTAGCCTCTTGAGAGAAAACACATTTTAATCCTATTCCCTCCTCTGTTAGGAGCTTAGTGGTAGCCCCAGAAGCTCTACAGGAGGGATAAAAACTGCCTAAATCAGCACAGAAATCTCCATCTCACCTACATTGCCTAAGCCATGTGAACTTTACAGAGTCAGGGCTGCAAGGGGTGTACTTATTAACTCAAACTGTGCTGGTACCTCTGGAGTTGTGAAGTTGGGCTCTGGAAGCAAGATAGCTGAGCTTCCAAGGAGTGAGAACTGGCAAATGTGCTGATTAGAGCCAGGCCAGTGCCTTGTTACGGCTCTCGTTTTGGAGGACCTTCTGCCTATCGCAGTTGTTGGCAGCACTCTCCTTGCTCCAGTGCTTGGGTTCCTGTGTTTCTAAGCCATTAGCTACACTCAGCCACTGTGCAAGTATGGTTAATTAAATTCTAGTGATTACTTGAAGTTATTTAACTGCAAACTATATCCAGTCCAATCATATAATTACAAGGAGTGGAGTTCCACATTTAAACAGCTAATGCATAATCAATAGATACTCCAGGCAATCTTTCCTTATGTTTCTGTTCCTACTCACAGTCTCTACCAATTCTAAATGTTAATGTACATTGCAATTCTACACAGCAGTGCTAATAAACCAAAAGCAGCACTGTAGAGCAGTTTGTTTCTTGGGAAATGGCAAACACATGTACCTCACCTGGATTAATTTTGGACCTGTTAGTGAAATGACGTATTATAGGTGAGCAACACCTACCAGTTACTGCTGGAATTTCAGCAAGTTTGTATCCTCCCTTTCACTCAAAAGTTGTTTGTGGTTTCCTGACCATGGGCACACTGAATGTACTCATTTTGTTCTAATAAACTGGAATATTCTCACATCCCCCTCCTGATTCCTGTAGCATGTGTTGTAATGTTAGGGATGCTTTCCAGATTCTGAAAAGCTGGATAAAGCAAGACTTAGAAAAGGATGAAGATATATGGAGTCAATTTTTCATAAAAGTGACCTTTATCTTGAAGGAAAAAAAAAAAAAAAAAAAAGAAAGAAAAGAAGGTGGAAACCTGAAATTCCCTGCAATAGTACCAAGAAGTAAATGCAGTTCTCATCTGTGTTTATTCAGATACTACACATCAAGAGATGCTCTTACGTATCCTGTCAGACTTTTATGAGGAGGTTTCTCCCTGTCTGTTACTGCTTTTTCAGTGAGAAGGAAAAGTTAACGGTTAAAGCCAGGGCAAGCTGTGGGTGGGTTTTATCTGTTCTTCTTTAAGAATGTCTGGGGAAAAAAATAAAAAATCAGACATTTAAAATCTGCAGATGTCCAGTTAGCTCACTCCTGTCCTGACCACAGAGAATTTTCAGCTTCCATTGCCTACTCAGTTTATGTTCTAGCTCATTGTTAGAATATTATTTGCTAACGTGAAATGTGAGATACAGAAGAACGCTCCACATCTTAAAGGTAATTCTAATTATTCTAGTTCAAGCCATGGTTTATCACCCTTCTCTTTTAGGAGCAAGTCCAAAAGACTAAAGATATGTTGAATAATGTGGCTTTGGATGAAGCCAATTTGGAAGCCAAGATTGAAAAACGGAAATTGGAACTGGAAAGAAGCCAAAAGAGGCTCCAGACTCTACAAAGTGTGCGGTAAAGATTAGGAACTGATTGTCTACTGCATGAGTGATGGGACTGTGCATTGTTAATGCTTAGAGCAGTGAGGGGTGAGGTTTATAGTGAGCCTGGGATGATGCCCTGTGGAAGAGAGAAATTCTCTTCCCTAGAAATGCCCAGTTTGGATTGTAACTGTTAGCTTTTCTGTTACCAGAATTTCAGAGGTGTTAAATGTGGCCAGAGTTGGGCTCATTAGGCATCCCTTGTTAGGATGGGTTGCTCCTGGCGGTGACCCTGCCTGCCATGAAATGGAGATGGTAAGATTCACACTTTGGGTTGATTTCTTGCCCAGAATTAAACTGCAGGTTTATATATTCTCTGATTGCATAAACAGATCATGCTCTGGTTTTGACCTAATATGAAAAAAAAAAAAGCAAACCCAACCAAGGAAATATTAGAAAAACAAATGGCGGAAGGAATTACGTTGATCCATATACATGTTTTGATCAGGAAAGCTTTAGGGGAAGTGTAATGGGTAGATGTGAAGCATTACGCAGACACAGTGTTCTTTGAGGTGCAGCAGTTAGCTCTCCAGTGTAAGGACATCCACACTTATTGGTGTCAAGTCTAGTTACGCTTTTCCAGCATGGTTCTGTAGCAAGTAAGCATAGTTTTTGTAGCAAGTAAGTCTCCAGCAAACTAGGTGATGTTCCAGCCATGCTACAAGCTATTTTTTTTGGAAGTCATGGACCAGCAGAATAAATTAGCTTAGGTTTGCCTGCTAAAAAGGCCAAAATGGTTCCTTTCTGCCTGTTTGAAAGGAAATGGCAGTGAGTGCACAATATCCTTTCCTTTGCTGTGTAATTTTTGTGGGAGAGTTTAATGAGGTTTTTTTGTCTTATGCTTACAGTCTCTGAAGTAGTGTGGAACCTTAAAAACAAAAGGTGCTTTTAAACTTGGAAAAGAAGCAGCAAACATGAAAATGTTTCTTTCAGAATTCTGCTCATACAGGTCAATAGTTCACTGAGTAGTTTGTGCTTGTTCTCTCCAGTCCTGCTTTTATGGATGAGTATGAGAAGATTGAGGAGCAACTGCAGAAACAGTACAGTAGTTACCTAGAAAAATTCCGTAATCTGACCTACCTGGAGCAGCTCCTGGATGATCATCGACGGACAGAGCAAGAAATGTTTGAGGTAAGACAGCTTAGAAATGCTCAGCGAAACCGTAGATCCTGTAGTTCTTGGCTTTATAACAGAAAGTGTTTAAATAGGCCTTCACCAAAACAGCACATTACTGGTTGTAGAGTCAGCTCTGAGTGACTGGCAGGTTACTGACAAGCCGGTAAATGTGAGTGCTCTTGGACAAGACAGCTTTATTTTTTTGAGTTAGTGAAGTTAAACCAGTGTAGTGATGCCCCCTTCCAGTCTGTGACTCCCCTAACTTATTTTCAGTTGCTGTTTCTTGTTCATGAAGAATGTTTCCAGCATTTCTAATCTTCCTTTTGCTACATACGAAGTATGTTGCAAGAGTTATTAGGAGCTTATTTTTTATGGTCTGCCAATGGCTGATGTATAAGGGCTTCTCAGCTCAAGGGTCTTAAATTCCCTCATAGGTGTCCTCTTCAATGAGAACAGCAAAGAGTGTCAGTGAAAAGCTCAGATATGGTGGCCTCAGTGTTGTCTGGCAGAAATTTTATATCCTGACTTGATAAATTGCATCAGTTCAGTGAGATTCTCTATTTTGTATCCTGCTGGATAATCCACATGTGTATCTCCTCCTGCTCCATGCCAACCTTTCATCTAGCTTCCTGTAGCTTCATATTTTCCTTGTTTGGCTTTTCATCCATTTCACAGTAATTGCCCAGTGAATCTTCTGTTCTTCACTGAAATCATGTTCCAGTGAATGATCTCCCCTTGGACCTTCATACCAGTGGGTGTGCTGTACCTGGAGTTAACCAGTGTATCCTCTTTCTGATAGTCCTATCTTTCATATGCAGGTTTTGTTAACACAACTTACCCTTGTTCCTGCCAGAAATGTGGGAGAGCTGTGCATAATGTTTCTTCTTTGGCTATGACTATGTTTTGCTTTTGCCATGTCTGTATGTGTCTACTCATGTATAAACAGTAGTTTGACTTTAACTGACAGAGGGGAGATTGAGATGACCTATTACGCAGAAGTTCGTCCCTGTGAGGGTGCTGAGGCACTGGCACAGGTTGCCTAGGGAAACTGTGGCTGCCCCATCCCTAGCAGGACAGGGGCTTGGAGCAACGTGGTCTAGTGGAAGGTGTCCCTGCTGGTGGCACGGGGTCGGAACTGGAAGAGCTTTAAGGTTCCTTCCAACTCAAACCAGTCTGGGATCCTATGACCCAAGTTTTTTAATCTTCTCCCTTAAAGTAATCATCTGTTTTTTAAAAGATAATGTGGGGATTCAACAACTTGTGACCCAATTTCCCATTAACCTCCCATTTTCTAAGCACTGTCTCTGTAGACATTATTTCACATATTTCTAATCAGTGTGGTATTTTCATGTGTCTTGTTCTATAATGTTCTAGCTCTTCCCCATATCTATGGCCAAAGTCCTCAATTAAATCATAATCTTGAAATGAAGCCTAAAATCTGTTTTCCCTTCTGTTCAAATGCCTTTGAGACTTAATAACAAAAGTAAAAATGTTTTGAACTGACCTGCCTGAAACTGTTTATAAATTCACAAAGTGAGTAAAGTGTCCACCTCTTCAGGGGATTTTTGTTGAAAGACAATAAAACAAAGAAAAAGCCTTTGTCCCTCAGGGCTGTGCCTGTGATTAGAATACAGACAGAACCTTTTCTGGTTTTCTCCTTCTTTCTTTGACCTGGAAATCTACCCCTATGCTTTTCATCTGCTAGGATAAGCAGGTAACAATGCTTCAGCAACATGCAGAATTATAAAGAGTATAAATGCTTTTGACAAAGATGTGTGGTTTTCTCTGCACACTTCTAGCACTTGTTATATGCAGTAGCATTAACAAGCATCAGAACTAGAAACATCTTTAAGATGTGTTTTATGCTAAAAACATACAGACCATAAAGCCCTATATCTTTTAAATACACTGTGATAGCTTAAACAAGCATGAAGTTTACCTGGTAAGTCTAGTTCTAGAGCTTGACTCTGAAAGGACCCTGAGATCATTTCAATTCACTTCCTGTTTGTTAGTCCAGTAAATCTTTTCATTAGGGAATGTTTGGGAAAACCAAAAATAAAAACAGGGAGGGGGAGGTATATTTGACACTTGGTCTTTAAAACTGGAGAGAGCAGCATGGGGATCAAGAACAGAAACCTGGCACATCTGAAAATACATAGAGTATTTAAAGGATGAGACTCTAGCCGTCTCTTTGTGGGCATCAGTGACCCAAGTTACCATGACTGTTTTGTTGTAGAAGCTGTTGCTTTGGAAGAAGAGGAGGTTTTGCATGTGTCTCTTGCAGCCAGTCTTTCAGGAGTGCTGGAGTCCAGACTCTTATTTGAAGTTACTCTGTGAGATGTCAGTGCTCAAAATTGGGCTCTAGGACTTGGTAACTGAAAAGGGGATGAAGAATCTGGGTCTCAACTAAACCAAGAGACTTTGTTGGTGCACTCTGATTTCCCAACCAGTGGAATTTTACTTTTTATTTTATAGGCACACTGTTTATTCCATTTCAGATGAGTCTCTTGCCCACCTGGAACACCATGGTGTTTAACTTCTGTCAGTCTTGATCTGCTTTGCAGGTGATGCTTCATCACCTTTGGCTACTTGTTGGTGAAGAAAAGTTGTGGGGTGTTTATTACATGCTTGAAAAAAATAGAGGTTTGTGCCAAAATGAAGCTGCATGTTGTCCTAAAATTTATCATCTGGTGTCATTTTCAGAATCAACAGAGGAAGAAAAAGAGGATAATTACGTTTAATCCATTTTAATAGAGAGATTGTCAAAAAACACTGAAAATTATGTTGATTTTTTCCAACCCTGATTTGTCTTTTGTTCCACCAAACAAATCTTAATTATCTTTTATAGTAGAAGTGAGAGTCAGCTCTTCTATCATTGCTCTGTGTTTTGTTAAATAGCTTGCCAGAAAAAAGCACCAGCAGTGTAATTAGATTAATTCAGCACTCTGTGTGCTGTGCAGTACTGAGGACTGTCCTGGACCACTTCCCTTCACTAAGTGCATTTTTTAGGAGGAGTTTTTGTTCTGATTGAGAGAGTTGTTGAATAACAAGACAAATCTCTAGTGCAGTTGGACTCCAAGCTGTTTTGGTACCCTGCTGACGTTGCACAGCTAATGACCTGGGCCAGAGCGTGCTTCCTAATGAGAAAAGTGATTTAAAGATTGTATCCAAGGACACAATTGTAATTAAGTGCCATTGAGCAGTTGAAGCACTCCAGTGCTGCAGTACTGGCTGGTTGTGTGTATTGGTTTGCTTTGTTCTTTCATGTGCTAGGTGAACTGGGGAGGAGAGCTCTATAGCTCCTGTTGTTTTCCTGAACTTCCTGTTCCCTCTGCCTCCCAGTGTCCAGAATAGTATGGAGGTGGGGCTGAAAACAATTGGCAGCAGTCTCCTGCCAGGCACTGGATGGAGAAATCTCTCTTTGTAACCCAAGGAGAGATTTCTGTCTTTGGAATTTAAAGGAACTTAAAGGCTAGGTGCTGAGTCTGACCCAAATGAATTGTCAGAACTGCACAGTTAATGGTTGATGAAATTACCACCTGTAGAGCTTCTGCCCAGGTGATGTGGAAGTGCTTTGAAATGTGTGAAAAATATGGAATTATTTGTCTCTTACCAACTCTCATTTGTGGAGATGTCAGAAGTCCTCGCATGACTCCTCCTTTGAGTGAGTTTCTCACACTTATTGACCAACTGTCATGCACTACTTGTTACTGGAGCCGAGGAGTTTAAATAAGAGTCTTTGGTCTTTGCAGTTCCTTTTTTTTTTATTATTTTCAGCTGCCTCTTTTATTTTGTTTCTGTTCTCTTGTGCTACTCATGGAATTAATCCATCTTCTTGCCTTTCTGTGCAGAAGCAGAGATTTATGTGCTGTCTCCTCAAAGATTTGTTCTTATTTTTCTGCTTTATAGGAAGATTCAGCATGCTTCATTAATTTTTATCCTGGTTTTAAGATTAAATTGTTTCTGATGTTTAGACATGAAAGCTATTAGAACTTTTGAAACTAGCTTTTTTAATGCCAGAATAACCTGGCAATATCCTTCAGCATTTGCCTTTTCTCTAGACAGAATGTGCTTATTCTTTCTTTTGCTTCTCAGGGGACATCCCTGAAGTACTTCTTCAGCCACTTTCTCCTAAGGTATTTTAAGACTGCTTTTGTGCTAGTGCTGTGAAATCTCAACAAGGAATACCATGAAGTAGTGGACATGCAGAAGAGGATGTTCAAAGCCATTCTGTCATTATCTTTAGTTTGGCATTGCCTGAACTATCATTCATCATTATGACACTACTACCAGTAAGCAGTCCACCACAGTTAAGCAAGGAAAAGCCAACTAAACAGACTATTGTGACTTTCCCTTTGTGACCAACCCTCCCCAAGTAAAATTCCCTCTTTATTAAAATAATGGGTTTTTTAACCAGAGCTCCATACCTGAAGCAGATGCCCTATTCTGAATATGCACATAATAGGGATAACTGGGTTCTGCTGCACTGAGATACTTCTTGAGTCTGCTGCTTTTTGTGTCTTTTTGTATTGAGCTATTCCATTTGAAATATTAAATCTGGATGTTCCCATTCTGATGTCTGGTTACTGAAATAGCCAGGCAGAAGGTTAATGGGAAAAGTGGTTGGTTTCAATTGATTTCCTAGCTAATGTACATTTGAATTATGATCGCTTGGTAACATTTTTATAGGTACCAGGAGAGCACTTCTGGTCCAATGTTGCTGAATTATATTGAATATCAGATGTAAAAGTAAGCACAGGCATCTTAATTGTTGATTGCTTCTATTTTGGTGTTACAAGCATGACAGCATTGGTGCACTGAGACACACAAATCCCATAATGGAGAAATGTGGGAAAAATAGAAGAGGAGGAAGGGAATGCACAAGGGGAGAGTAGGGATAATGAAGCATAGGAGAAATTGCTGGCCTGAGAAATGGTGGGCACACAAAAGGAGACGACAGAGGTAGAGGAAAGGTGGGAGGGCATGTGAGGAGTGTGTTGAAAACGTGGAAGTGT